TTTTTTTCCATCTTCTTCTTTCAGACAGAGTGTTTTAATCACATCCGCCTTCTCCAGAGGTTCAACTCAACTCATCTCTACACGTGTGGTACTAATGCCTACAGACCCCTCTGTGCATACATAGTATGTACATATATGCATTTTTTTTTTACAGCAGTGAAAATACAGCATATTTAGAAATTGCATTTGCTGCTTTATAGCCGTGACCTTTACTAAAAAAGAAAGCGTGTGCTTTCTGTTATTTTCCAGTGTTTTGTTTGTAAGTTTTCTGTGATTAAAAGATACCTTTGTGCATGGAGTTTCCATATTCAAATCTTTGCTCCTATACAGGACGTGGAGAGATTTGTGATTTCATCTCAGCCTGAAGAAGGCAGAGACAAATGCCCCTACGGCCCCACAACAGGTTACACTGCCCTCATTATAGGTAAGGCAGTTAAAATAAACCAGTCTCTTCTTGAGTTCCAATAAACAGCTGTATAAGCTGGTAAACTGTTGTTGTTTTTTTGCTTCCAGACCAGCAGATATACACAGCTTCCCAGTATGAGTTTAGGAGCTTTCCAGATATCCGCCGAAACTCTCCGTCTCCCACGCTGAAGACAGAAGATGCTCCCACACGCTGGCTGAATGGTGAGTTCATTGCAGGATAAAAGCTCCTTTAGCGCGTTTGGGTAGCAGGATGGTGCAAGTGGACAGGGGTCTGAGCAAACAGCCAGCTAACGTCATGTTAAACCTCCACGTGACCTTCTCTGCTGGACTATCCTTGGTGACTCACATACTCCTTTCTGCTTCAGTGGATTGGTTATGTAATGGTTAACGTTACGACTGCTACTGATTGAGGTTTGTAGTCCAAGTTTGTAAATCGAACACTTTGGTTCGGGCTCAAATATCTCAGCAATCATCATGAAGTTAGCCTTCATGTCCCTGTCAGGATTAATCATTATGATAATTTATTAAAATTCTTATTAAAATACTTTGTGACAGATGCTCAACATTGCAGTGGTCTTGGACAAGATACCGTACTCCAGTTTATCCCTGATTTGTCTATCAGATTATGCATGTATGATAGTTAAAGTAGAAAAGCACTACATAAGTACTAGTTGGCATTGTGTGCCTGTTGGCATTTAACTTGACACTACATTAGCCGCACAGAGTAATTAGCAAGACTTTAAGGTTTTAAGCTGATCTCACACATGCACTGCAGCCGGGAACTTTTCTAGATATTTCCTTGCACAGAGCTGCCTGCTTCAATACAAATGCCACACTCAATTAATCTGACATTAAAAGGTATTTTAACCTGCCAGCTTCCTAGTAGAAAGTCCATGTGCTGTTCACTTGCTGTAATTGTGCCCATGTGAGAAGGTAGGGCTGGTATGTTGTGTGGGTGTTGTTGGTCCCGGCCCCTGCATGCCCTACCTAACTAGTTTTCAGTAGTGATAGCAGAGTTCATACAGTCTCCTTGTTGTGTGCTGCATATCTATGAGAACAATGTTGGTTCAATATCCTGACTTGATTATTCTGACATTGTTTGGAGTTCATAGGTGAAAACTGCCAGGACCAAGATAATCCCAGATGCAGGTCAGAGACCAGGACAGGATTACAGCTGTTACATAGTGTCTTATCGATCAGGGTCAGGGCAGATGTAAGGCAGTGTCTTATGGTGCTCATTCCTTTCAATAATCAATGGGAATCAATGGGTAGTTATAACCTGGTTGGACACACAGGGGAAGTGGGGAGCCAAAGCCAAGGGATCCATAGCAACAGGTTGTTTAGGGTGGCCTCCAGAAGAAGTAATCACCAAGAGACTAGAGTAGCAGAGCCTACAACATGGCGTCGTGGTGATATTGAGAACAGAGTTGTGTTCAATGTTGTGTAATGTTCAAAAGACTTTTGTCACATTTACAATAAGTGCATCTCCTTTTTCCCCCATTGCAGAGGCAGACTTTGTGGGTTCGGTTCTCGTGAGGGAGAGTGTGGGCAGCAGTACTGGCGATGACGACAAGATCTATTTCTTCTTCACTGAAATAAGCCAGCAACAGACACCAACCTACAGCCACAGCCGGGTGGCACGAGTTGCTCGGGTTTGTAAGGTGAGTGCAGATTGAAAGAGATGCGTGAGATATTTTTCATGTGGGAGTGAAAGATTGCGTCAGGCCAACTTGAGTGAAGGTTTAGTTTATGATAGAAGAGAGGGCTGTAATAGATGAGGGGCTGGATAAAGAATACATTTGGAACAAGGCCTCAGTGTAATTAGAAGAGCAGACTGTGTAGCTGATGAATTGGTTAGAGAGGCAGTGTAACTCATAGTGAGACGGGTGGATGGCTACAGGTAAGACTATTTAGCATCGTCTGCTGCCTGTATCGATAAAGTTTTAGATTTCCTGCTGCCTGGTAAAGTATCAAGAATGACATGAGCCAGCTGTACTGTTCTAACCTTGTTTTCTCCTTTGGCGCCTTAAAATTGAGTCAGCTCGCAAGTTCTCTCCTTGAAAGCAGGGCAAAGTATTCATCCTAATAGCAGTGCCTTGTGGCTACATGTGTGACGCTAGCAATTTGCCCCAGGCTGAATACATTTTAAGGTTAAAATCAAAAAGCCAAATGGTGCCATTTTTTGGATTTTCCAAAAGACCCGCAGCCTCGAGTGAAGCTTTTTATATAGTGAATGGGTGTTGAGATGTCTCTGTGTACGCGTGGCTGTCACATCCAATTAGAAGCTCACTCCACTGTGAGTGCTTTCAACCTGCTGAGGATAAACACACACGCATACACACAAATCTGTAAATTACAGTCTTACCTATGGGAAGCTACAACCTTATTGAATATATCGTTATTGCTTTCCCTTACCATCTGTTGTGCTCATCAGGAGCTTCATATCCTTTCGTGTGCCACCTTGAGTGGTGTTCAGTCTATTTTTCTTTTATCTCACATAAACACCCCCCCCCCCCCCCCGTTCTCCCTCCTCCACCCTCTTGTTTTTCTCCTTCCTCCTCACCTGTCATCCTACAGGAAGACCGCGGAGGCCATTTAACTCTCCAGAAACGGTGGACGTCCTTCCTCAAGACTCGGTTGACTTGTTCTCTTCCCGAGTATGATTTCCACTTCAACATGCTGCGCAGCGTGTTCGCTCTGCCTGGCCAAACGCCGCAGGACATGCTTTTCTACGGCATCTTTGGCCCTGAGTGGTGAGTGCGAATTTGTATGTTGCCAAGATGGCTGATCGACAGGGTCTTTGAGGATGCAAATGCAAATGAGTGAGATGGAGATGAAAGGCAGCAATCGATGCGCTGAGACAATCAAAGACGACGTGAAGGGACAGGATGAAAGACAGAAGGAATTTCTTTATCCAGGCGGTGTGAAAAGAAGCTGATTGCAGAAGTTTAACAGCAGTTTAAGGGAAGAGTTGTACTCAAAATTTAACAAGTGACACTAAATCTATTTGTAATACTGCACATGGTTGGGATACTGCTCCTCACCGGCTCTCCTTTCTCTTACCTCAGGTCCGACTACACTTCTCTAAAACCACTTACTTCTCTCCTCCTTCTCTTTTATTCGTCCCAGACAGATATAACTTTTAATCAGCTTCATACCATCTCTTTCAGCGTTCGTCTCCCCCTCCCTCCCTGCCCCACGCTTTCATCCCATTTATCTTTTTCTATCATTTCATCGAGGTGACTCACTGATCTACTGTACTTCTACTGCTGTCACTATGGAAACCCTGGGTTTACTGCTGTTATTGTTCGCGGCTCGCGCTCTGGTCTTTCTCATTGTGTGAGTTGATGTCTTTAGGAAAAACGTGAAGGCGTCTGCAGTGTGTCGGTTCACTCTGTCTGAAGTCCAAGAAGCCTTTCAAGGACCTTACATGGAGAACCAGGACTCTGGTTCTAAGTGGAAGGAATACACTGGAAAGATCCCCGACCCGCGACCTGGAACGGTAAATGCACACACTGGCCAATGAATCCCTTAAACATACTATGCAGCACACAAATAACGTCTCCCTAAGAGAGAGCAGATGAAACCGATGCAAAGCGAAGATTCATAAAGAGAGGACAGGAATAGATGAAGGGAAAATAATTGAGAAATTGAGAAATGAGTGGTGGCCTCAAGGATGAAGCTCAAAACACAACCAGCTTATGTCACTGAAAACCATTTCCATGGCGATTAACTGAAGCTCGCAGCTTGGGTGACAATGGCTTAGTGCAGCAGCCGGGGCCGTGTCATCGTTAGCAGGAGCAGACATCATCCACTGCAGTGTCACTTCAACACTTTGTGGGACTTAATTTTAACTTTGCTATTAAATGGAAAGGAGAAACGGTCAAGCGTTTTAACTTGGGAGCGTGAAAGCCTCTTAGAGGAGTTGGCTGAAATGATTTGAAAGGAACAAAGAGAGGAGGAAAGTCGTTCCCTTAGTCAGGTACAGAGGAAGCTGATTCACCCGCATGTCAGCACAAGCCAGCTGCTGAACCCATGCAGGCTCATTGTAGTCAAAGTAAAAAAGTCAAATTTTCCCCAGACACAGTGTTTCACATTCTCACATTTTCATCTTGATCCCGATTTTCCCACTAAACCATCGCTAAGCTCTCTGACACCCTCTCTGCCTTCCAGTGTTGGCCTCTATTACAAATAAGTCAAAAATACCGCTGTTCCCTACAGCCCACATCATGCCTTCCTACTTGCTCATCATCTCTTCTCTTGTTGTGCTCTTTGTCTTATTTTCCTGCAGTGTATAACTGATGCTCTGAGGGCCAGGAACATGAACTTCTCCACTTCCCTGCCTGATGATGTTCTGAATTTTGTCAGGAGGCATCCTCTGATGTCCAAGCAGGTCGAGCCTAAGGACCGACGCCCCCTTTTGTTTAGGAGGACCACAGACTACACACACATGGGTGTGCACACGGCCCAGGGATTAGATGGAAAAACTTACCATGTATTGTACATGGGCACAGGTGTGTATAAATTCAGATCAGGTATTAACTTTGCAGCCAGTTAATAATTATTTTTTCTGAATTGTTGTTGTTTCTACTTAAGCTTAGCTTGGTGTAAAAACTGAAAACACAAAGCTTGCCTTGTTCCAGAGGTGATGAGGTCCTTGTGGCTTACAGGGAGGTTCAAGACCCTTGCTGTCACTGGAACCAGTCCACCTACATATAATTTTAGACTTCCTGTAGTTCTTGTTCAACCAGCTTTTCATTTGTTTCACAAGAAACAAGCAAAAATAACAAGTCATCCTGTCAGTGGCTTTTCAAGCACTGAGCAAGCAGCTCATATGGGAAATATAAGCAACATTTGAGTGGAAGGAAAAAAAAAAAGCACTTAGATCTGTACTCAGCGGCTTTAAGGTTGAGCAGTGATTCTTGAACACAGTCTTGTGTCATCCTGGTCCACTGCCAACTTGATGTTGCAATTCTACTTGCATGTAACTACATTGTTTCAGTTTGCGAAACATTCTGACGTGGTCAAAAGTCCTCCTTCTCCTGCCTCTCCCTAGCACAATGCTAGCACACTACAGCAAATTAATTTTATCTGTTCATTTCTTTTTTTTTTTAGCCTTTTAGACATTAAAAACGTATTACAGCACATAATTTTTATGCTGATGTTAATGCCAGAAGATGTTTTGAATGCTGATGCTCTTGATTCAGCAGAGCACTGACAACTGTCACCAGCTGTGCATGGCCACACTGAGCGAACCAGCTCTGTAGCTTTACATGGTCTTCCATTTCTTCGCTGAGTTGCTTTGGTTTCTAAATTACTCCACTTTGTAATAACTACTTATAGCTGATCATGAAATATCTAGGGGTAAATACATTTCACACACTGATTGTAAAGACAGACTGCATGGCTAGCTGCTTAATTTTCAATACCTGCAGCAATGGGACTCAAAACACTTGAATTCAAAGATTAAGAGCCTGTGTGACCCAATATTTTTGTCCAAAATGATTTTATTTACCCGTATTCTAGCACTTATTAATGTATGTAAAAGGAAAGAACTATCTTCAGTGTTTGCAATACCAAATGGTGAAATACATATTAATCAATGGATAAATAATAATTCAACCTATAACCCAGTGTCTGATTGGCATGCACGTTTCATTCAGCTTGTATTACAGTGTGTTTTGTGTTATGTATAGTGCTTTATTTCTAATGATTCCCCTTTGTGTCACCCAGATGAAGGCTGGTTACACAAAGCTGTAGACATCAAAGGTCAGCTGCACATTATTGAGGAGCTTCAGCTGTTTGGAGAGCCACAGCCTGTTAACAATCTACTGATATCTGACAAACAGGTAGTGACCAATGCGCAGACAGCCACATTTATTAGATCCAATTTCTGCTTTAAACAAAGTCATCTGTGTCCTATGTGTCCTATACAATATATGACTCTTGTTTCTCCCTCAGTGGAGTGTGTACGTGGGCTCTCCATCAGGCGTGGTTCAGCTGCCACTCTCTAGCTGTGGTAGATACACTTCCTGCTATGATTGCATCTTTGCCAGGGACCCGCACTGTGCCTGGAACGGAGCAGAGTGCGTGGACGTCATGATGCAAGCAGACAGGTCAGTTTGAAAGGTTGTGTGTGTGGTTAGATCAGGTGATTAAAGTGCCCTTTTGTACGTTTGATTTGAGTAAAGTTAAAGTATCAGCGTGCCCTGTCACACTGTCACGCTGTTGTATAATTCAGTGCTGGCAGACAGCAGATGGTTGTGATTGTAAACATAGCCTGTGTACTTTAGGTGTCCTGATTATTCAGGAAAGATACGCTTCCTCTCTAGAAAGCAGATATCGAAGCAATAAATAGCTGACATTCTTATGTTAAGGTGCCTGTTTATTCCTTGTACTGATGTACCTATTGTTATGATTTATCTCTCTTCACAGATCCACATTAATCCAGGATATCCAGCATGGCACCAAGGGATGTGAGAACACGCAAGGCGGTACGCAGAAATCTCATCTGCTCCTCAGTGCTGGTGTTCCAAAAAAAAAAACGAAAAAAACAAAACGTAACGCTTGAAAGGGAGATTAAAAATAGAGAACGCATGGAAGGACTCGAAAGATGCATAGTTGTCATCAGATGGCATGAAGGCCTCTTTGAAAGTTGATTATGCGCACTGTGTTGGCAAAATCCTCTCCTCCCTTCTTTAATCACATTTTTGCCATCTCTGGAGAGAAATCTGTTTGATATTCAAGGCAGGCGAAGTCCTTCTCTCACTCCTCAATTTCAATCTGATAAAGTGTAGCTTCTTCTACCCCCCTCACTCCCTCGCTCTGTGCAAAGTAATGTGAGGGCAGGAATTAAAAGATTTGTAATTGGAGTTCATGCCTCAATAACTTTGGATGGCCTTTGATAAATGCAGTAGATGTAAAACAATGAACATATATATAAAACGTGTCTGTGGCTGATTTGTGGGTTTTCTTATGAAATCTGTGTTTCAGCACATGTGGGCTTGCTTGTGTTTTTCAGATGTTGTTCACCGGAACCGCTCGGTGCGGGTCGGTGATGACGTGCTGCTGCAGTGCGAGCTCAGCTCCAATCTGGCGACGCCCCTCTGGATGCTGGACGGCAGACAGGTGCAGGGGTACGACCTCAACTCTGGTTTTAGAACCGGCACAGATGGCCTGCTGATCATCAATGCCCGGCAGGACCAAAGTGGCTTGTACACCTGCTACGGCGTTGAAAACAGTGTAAAGGTTGCAATAGTTACCTACAATGTCACCATCCAGTTGGACCTGCACCCTCTACCGCCTGTTGATCCAACTCATAGCTCTACCACCGTCAGAGGCCCCAGTGAGCATCCCCAGACAGAGAGGGGCAAGCCACCACTGCTGAGCCCTCTTCTCCCACACTCAGATCTGCTTTCCCCCAGGAACATGAAGGCCATCTACCTCTCCCTCATCACTATCCTCGGAGGCCTGTGCGTGGTTCTCACAGTGGTTCTTATCTATGTGGGCTTCTGTTTGCGAGTAGGCCAAAGAGGAAAGTACTCAATACGGGCTGCGGCTGCGGCCCACCAGAGTGGTAAGAAGCACCACAGGAACAGGAAACAGCACAGAAACTCCACCACCATGGAGCTGAAGACCATCTCGAGTCACTGTAATGGCAACGGCATTTGTAACGGAGGTTCAAATATGCATAACGGCAACATCCAGGACGGAGGCTTACTACAGATTGTCCCTGGCGAGGGTCACACTTCACCCAGTAATGAACCTCCTCCCCCAGCACCGCCTCTCCCCCCCACACCTCAACTTACCTCGCCGGGGTGTGACTTTTCCAACGGGCTGTCGGCAACACTGCCTAGTGTCCTGAGGAGGATACATGGGAACAGCTATGTGCTCCTGAGACAGAGCGACTCTGAAAATATGTCACCACCTGGTTATTCCTTTGCTGAGGAGCTCAACAAGATCTTAGAGAAGAGGAAACACACTCAGCTGCTGCCCAGGCCGGATGAGAGCTCTGTGTAGACAGATGTAGCTTCCCCTATAGTGGGCGTACTGCTAAGTGTTCTTAGCTGGTGCCTGTCACGTGACTCATTACTGTTGTGGTCTAAAGCAGTGAACGGGTCAGAAATGAGACATTCCTATTTTTGAACTGCTTGTCAAACTGAATTCCCCAATTTCCCAATGCGCGACAAATGAGAAGATAAATTCCAGTGAAGGGGCCGAGCATGAAACAACAAAAAAGAGCAATCTACCTCACCTCAAAACTGCCCATAAGAACAAGTGCAGTCAGTCCCCAGTCTGATCTGAGTGTCATGTCTGAGCCCTCTGATCCACAGAGCACAAAGCGGGATGCACAGGCTCCACCAACAAGTCAAATTGAGCCACACTGGAATATGAATACATGTGAAGAGTTGATTCAGACCGGAGGGCAGCTAGCCAGAGTTCGTTTGAGCACAGATGGCCTATGCATTTTTAAAAACATGAAGGGAGAGAGGGGAGGGAACGTGGTGCGCAATGTTTTTGCTTTTAACTAATTGCAATAACCAACACAATATTTTACAGTAATATAGGACTGGATGGCACATAACATTTACACCAGCCATCAATTGGTGAACTAATCATTATTTAATATTAACCCTGCTTAACTAAGTATTTCTTTATTTACTGATTTATATAATTACTACACACGTAATGCACCACTTTTAGTAGATAATTGTCATATTAATCATTTATATGTATTGTTTAAATTGCAGAAAAATTTATTTGTGTTAATTTGTTGATAATCCAGGTGATGCTGTTAATGCATCATAAATGGTTAAAACATGAAGCAGTGTGTTAGCCTTTAATACTCCAGTTTAATTAATATCTACTAATTCCTTCAAGTAGCCATTAGAGTCCACATTACATGCAAAATTCATGAGGGATTAAACTTATTAAACCCTTAGATGAAAATGTATTAAATAGTGATTATTTCACCAAGTACTGATGGACATCCCAAGATAATATGTGACAGTATTATAATTATTTTAGTGCACTTTAAATGCTAGTAATTTTAAAGTCATTGTTATTAACTGCAACCAGCCAGCCAGAGGAAGTTTTTTTTCTTTCCCCCCCTTGTCAGTGTGATGAGTTGCAACTGTGCAGACCTCAGCTGTGTCTGCTGGACCTTCTCTGACACAGTGGGTCAGGAGAAAAACACTGACTGAGCCTGAATCCACCGCTGAGTGACACCCTGCATGAGACCGTCACACAGAATGACAGACTGCGGGAAACAGAGTTCGCCAAGAGCGTTCCAAGGTTAATCGTCTTTATATTGCACTGATACATCTTCTACACAGGCTGTTAGCCAAACAGGTACTTAAGGCTATGGACCAGAGAGATAAACACCCCTCATTCTTTATATTTTGTTTTCAAGGAGCCAGACTGTGTTGTAATTGTTTATAAGTGGTTTTTGAGGAATAGTTATGAAGGTCTTCAAAGTTTTTCTTTGGGCATTGGCTGCTTTTTTCACTCTTTCAGTCCAGTCCTTATACATTTTCAAAGGAATGCTTTTATGTTTGGTTCGTCCCTTGAATTTGGTGTCTCTTTATCATTTATAGGTCACTGTTGTCTACACATAACAGATAACTTAGTAAAAACACATTTGTCTCCATTTCTTTACTTGAATCTATGAAAAATGCCAAAACACACAGCTGACAGGTGTAAATAGTAATTTTACACCAGCAAGGTAATTCCCAAAGAGCTATTAGCCAAAAGCTTGGTGTGCAATGTGTGCCAGGAAGGGGCACAGTGAGGCTGAGGTATACCAAAGTACGCAAGATCTGGACTGGAAATCAGTACCAACAGATTTAAAATCTTTGGTTCAGATCATTGTCAATATGTATAGAGGAGGTCAGAACAGAGGCAGTGTCTACAGCCATCTGTAAAACACCGTGGAGTGGAGGCTATGTCATGGCTTGGGGTTGCATTTCAACCCTGGTGTTGGCAAGTTCTGAAGGCAGAAAAGTGCCATCAGATTTTGACCCAAAATCCAACAAAAAGGTTTGAATTTTTTTTCCAAAGACCTGGAAAACTATTCTTGAAGACAACTTAAGAAAATTACAGGAAAGTTTGGCTAAGATAGTTCAGGCTTGTCTGAGAATCATGGTGGTAACACCAAATAGTGACCTTCAAGCTCACTCATTGTGCAAACTCTGTTTTTGCCCTATATACTTCATTTTCATGGATTTTTGAATGTTTCAATAAACCGCTGCACCCATTTCCCTAGCAAAGTTTAAAGAAATGAGGTCTGGCTCAGGACTTTTGCACAGTAGTGGACACACAGTTTCTACCCACCTGTATGCTCTAAGAGCGTATCAATTACATCAGCTTGGTTATTAATAATTTGTGCAGGAATGTAAACTCACAGATTTCCGATTGAAAACATATGCTGTAAACTCATTCACAGCTGCATTGTCTTATCTCGAACAAATTACACTCTGACAGAATAATTCATTTATGGGAATAATCCAGCCATGCAGGAAATTAAAACAAATTTCTCTTGCATCAATGATTAATGTTTAGGCTGATTTGGCCATTATGTTGCTCAGTCTCACTCTTAGTCCTTTTTATTTTCCTAATCCATCTTCTTTTGCTGCATCTTCAGCTCCCATGCCTGAGCGCAGTATTAATTAAACAGTCTACTTATGACGAGGATGGAGAAACTGAGTGAGAAGTCTCCCTGGACATTTACATTATGTAACACTCTCAGGTTTCTAATTATTTTTCTCATACCCGCGGGCATGGGGTGTGGTTTTCCATTTAATTGCTGTACGTCAAGAGTAGAAAAGCAAAAATAACTCGAGTGTAAACAACATCATGATAAACACGAGTGACGAACATGTAAAGTCGTACGTGGGATTGAACCTAACACGGCTGTGACGTCAGGACGCCAGCGTAGCTGTGGCTTGAGCTCGGCTTTCCAGTCAGCTTAGCTTGAACACTTCACACATTAAAAGCCTTCATTAAAACCATTTGACCTCGATTCAAAGCACAACACAAGGTGAACACAACTACAGGGGTTTGATGTGATTTGCAGTTTTATTCGCTGCAGTGGAAACGCTGAATGTTTTTTGCCTTCTCTCTCGTTTGTAGGTGTGATGAGCGCAGGTCAGTTTGAAGCCCACTTAATTTCATTCCCGAGGATACCATCTCTCAACCAGTGTCAGATGGCAAAACTGGCTGCAAAGATATTCTTTAATGAGCACTGAAATCAAATTTTCTGTCGTTAGTGGACAGTGGCGCCTGAAGCGAGGCTGGATAAGGGCTACAGCATAAGAGTCTCTGCCCCAGCAGCAACAACTGAAAAGGAAATTGTTGGCTCCCGTGTCTTACCGAGCAGCATTTCTTCTTCAGAAAGCAGCTGCGTGTGTGTTTATGTGTGCGCAGAGTGCCCTTCCCTCCGTTTCATGTAATAACCTTTTTTCCCCTCACTTGCTGCATGAATTATTTCAACACTGTTTCTCTTTAAGTAAAGGACAAAGAAAACTCATTTTACTATTAATCGAAAGTGCCAAGTTTGTTGTTTTGTGCGCCTATTTTATCCCTCAAAGAAGCTGCATATTTATTTTGTAATTTTGTACATTGTATGTTTTGGAATTTACTGTCGATGTTTTGTGTCAAAGTGCCACTTGTTAAACAAAAGCCTAACAAAAAGGAGGATCACACTTTGCCTGTGTTGCACAAAATGTAATAAATAGAAGCACGGTAGACAAACAAAAAGCATGCAGAAGCCGTACCAGCACCACAGAAGTGAGTATTTATAACCTACTAAGGGAAATGAAAATACACCAAATTATATATAAACCTCACAATATTCCTAATGTCTTAATGAGGGATCGTTAAGCTTTTTTTGTCACTGTAATTGTTTTGTTCTCTGTTTGCATGCTTGTGCACACAGCAAATCCAATTCTTTTATTAAGCTAACACAAAGAATTAAAAGGGAAGTGGGTTCCTTCACATTTCAGTCATGATGAATTTGAATAAAACTTTCTACTTCAAAGACTTCTTCATTTTTGATTTTGCAGATACAAAGGTAGATGAAAGAAATCCTATCCTTGTCAAAGCTTTTTTTCATATGTAAGAGGAGAGAGAGAGAGCGAACTATGTAAGCCTGCAAATATTGCCAGTGAAGCATCTGCTTTGTAACTGGAAGCAGGCCTGAGTTCCTGCAGCAAGCGCAGACTGGTACGGAAAATTTTGCTGTGAGGTTGATGCCCGAGGACTGGTTCGGAGCCAGCAGGAGAGTGCTGTTGATCAAAACCAACTGCATAATGTCCGTCCTGTGTCCTGCAAAGGCATTAAAAGACAACGTCCAATGTTGGAGCTTGTATTGACGAGCTGCAGGCCTTACATTCATAATGCACCTTTTGAATTTACTCAATCGGAAATGCCACAGTGCAGAACTACCCTCCTCCCCTCCCAAACAGATTTCTCCATCATCCATAAGACCTTTTCCTTCATTTCTGGGATTGAGAGGACAACACCCAGTTTTCACACAATGCATTTATTGTAACACATAACTAACAGCAAAACAAGACGCCCATAAATAGGACAGCCGTGTCGTACGCTCACACAAACACACCCATGGAGGATTTGTAAGAGTGCCAGGTACCTGCAGTGTGTACAGCTTGATGTGTGATTAACAAACTGTCATGGTTAGTGTGTTACTTGCGTAATGCTTTCGTGGATAATCAGTGTCAACAGGAGGAGCCTGTTGACAGTAGTGTAGAGTAGAGTGTAGAGTAGTGTAAAATTTACAGGTTAATTTCAAAAGACCCGCTCTGAAATGTGGATATCACAAAGCGGTTTTATGTTAAACGACAGAAGTGCAGGCTTAGTGCAGCTTTTTGTGTTTGACAGAATTTACACATTATCAAGACTCCCACATGGAGACATTTAGGATAAAGTGCTGCACCAAAAGGAGCAGGAAAAAATGTGGTAATTTCATCATACCTTTCTCGGTTTTATCTTCTCTACTAGCATCTAGAGAAGACTGCTGTGATAGACAGTGTGATGGGCGCAAGCCATTACTTTTCTAGACTACACACTTTGAAGCCTAAACATTAGTGTTTTGGCTGATGTCATGCCGTGTAAACTAAAAGTTACCTTTACTGGAGAAGAGTAGTACAAATCATAATGGTTATAATGACAGAAAATGCTCAGTTAGTCCAGTTAGCAGCATGTTCCAATGTTTGGCACTTTAGAAGCCACCATTCTTGTC